CTAAGATGGCGTTGGGTTTATATACTATACATAAGTAGGTAAATAAAATGAGTACAATATGAAAAGTATTTATGGGTTTCATTTATATACATATTTTGTGTTTATTAGTATAAGAAACCATCTTGCAGTCGCAGTTATTATTTTTTTAATAGCAGTTAACTTGTTTTCTTATAAATTTCTGTTGCAAAAAAAGTGTTTGAAACAGAAACACAGACATTTTTTAATTCAATGTAGATTATAACAATACTTATTGAAAGTCCCTGGTTCGGAAAAAAAAATTCTGTCCTGGGAAGAACCAGCAAGAAACCCAGCTGGACTATTTTTTTTCTAATAATAGCTTACAATAATGTTTACAATAATACAACACAAGACAAATTAGAAATAGCTTGGTAGCGATCACCCTTCCCAGGGGTTATTATCATCCATAAACTCCTTAATATTATAATAACCCTTTTTATACAAACTTAGTTTAATAACATTTTTGTACTTTGTGTATGAGAAATTTTGTATATTTTCTGAGATTTTGTTATAAAAGCGTATACATCGCCCCAATAATGAATTACTGACTCGGTGGAGTCGAGTAACTGGTGGTACTGACTAGCTTTTGTCTGTTCCTAGTATTTACATAATGAATATCACTTATTTTCGCAAAACTACTTTTATTTTTGTGTACGTACATTACATTTTCATAAATGTATTGAGAGGCCAGAGTTAATATATTACTTTCCTTGAATTTTTGTCTCAGTGACTCCTTTGGTTATAAATTATATATTGCTCTAATGGCCCTCTTCTGTAAAATAAATATAATTTCAGTGTCAGTCGCGTGTCCCCATAGCAAAATACCATACGACATAATGCTATGGAAATAACTAAAGTAAACTATTCTTTCGTTTCATTTCATTAATTCGTTTCATTAACATATCATAATTAGTGGTCATAATATGGCTCTGAAACGTATTTATTTATAACGTGCATGACATGACTCATGTGCATAAGGTTTGCGGACTCTCCCGCGGTGCTAAATTATATTATGTGTAATATGTTAATTATTTACCTTCGCACCATTGCATATTAAACTAGGTCGGTTTTCAGTTCGCACGAGAGTTAATCCATTTTAAATGGATATAGAGCCGTGGTAGCTCAGTGGTTAACGCTCGCTGTAAATATAACAGAACGCGAGTAATCCGGGTTCGATCCCCGCCGGCACCAATGAAATTGTTAATTGCAATTTTAAGTGCTGATTTACCACGTGCTCGGCGGTGAAGGAAAACATCATGAGGATACCTGCATGTCTGAGGAATAAGAAAAAAAATATTTAGAAGACATGTGAAGTTCGTCAACACGCATTTGGGCAGCGCGGCGGACACTTCCTTGCCCTAAACCCTCTCAGAAATGAGGGGAGGCCTGAGCCCAGCAGTGGGACGTATTATAGGCTGTAACTTTACTTTAACTTTTACTTTAAATGGATGTAAATAAACTGGATTAAATATTGGCATCGCACAACTAAGGTACCTATGTGAGGGTAATCTGGTCACCTGAAGCTTTGCCGCCCTATAAAACCAAAACTAGGAGTAGAACCGAGTCAAAAACACAAAGTCGTATACTATAACTAATATATTAAGAAAAAAAATAGAAAACAAGCTTTGGCAATACACAGTACTAAAATCGACTAAAGTATTTACTATTTTGTAGACTGCCAAACTGGCCTCGAAGAAGCAATGTCCTTTTGAGCCTTTAATATTTGATTGATTGATGAAGAGCTATCGTGTCACGGAGTTATCTATGCAAACAAGGTTGTAGTTCTTGAGTTATAAGAAAGTGACCATATTACCCTCACGTACTAATAATAAAAATAATGTCCACCAGACCGAATTTCAGCCACGGCGGCCTGCCTCAGCGGAGGCTTGCCATCGACGCAGGACAGGATTATAGTGCCCAAGTGTATACGCAAGCACAGGTGTACTCTCTATTCCCTCACTCTCGTAATCCGATGGGACGGTAAACCGACACGACCGGGAGAGAGATCAGGCGCAGGAACAACGACTATACGTGATTTCCGTGGCACGGGGGTGAGACACCACCAACTTCCTGACTCCGGGCAACTATTGAGAATTTCTTGACGGAAAAACTCAATAATTAGTTTTTTTCGAACCCAGGAACTCATGATCAGCAGTCGTACATTGCAACCACTAGACCAACGAGACAGTCTCGTACACTATAATACTATATGTACTATAGTATATATAATACTATATGTACTATAGTATATATAATATGTAACAGCTTACATACCTACATCTGGGCAGAGGGTCTTGCTCCTCTCGTGCGTGCGTGATGCGTGTTGGTATGGTCTTTGATTTTTTTTTACTTCTCAACATGCCGATCTCCCCACAATATTTTCACCTGTCTAGGTGTTCATATACCTTTTTTACCCTGTTAGTGCGTGCCTGTGTTCCGATCTGAAGGGTATAAAGAGCCCAATATGTTATTTTTATATGGCTGTGAGGTTGTATTCCAATTTAGTCATCAAGACTGAAAACGCATCTGTAGCCTCGTTTGTTTAAAGTGTAATTGCATTTGTCCATGGGTACTTAACATCGGTGCACTGTGAGTTCGTTTGTCACTTCAATTTTATATTTAAAAAAACCATAGACATAGAGAGAATGGACTGAACACTAGCCTCACAAAAGTAACCATTCTCTAAAAAAAAAACAAAGCGACTGTGCGGCCGATACCTGTCTCTATGACATGATCATAGTAAAAACAGAATAGTAGGTTGTCTTCTAAGAAATGTACCGAACGCCCCTAATATTTATGCTTGCTGGCCGTACAGTACGGACTTGTACGCATTAGCCACAGCACGCACACAACAATACTTACTAAGTCGGGGGGTCGACTCCCACCGCCGCGCTCCGTAATCGTCTTTGTTTGAGACTTTGTTGACTTTTAATAAAATTTTGCTAGCAGTCTTTTTTCGTTTTATTGTCTATTTTTGTAAAATAAAATTAATGTATGCGTTTGTTTAAGTAAATTAGCTTTTTATTAATAGGTTTTATTACTATATCTATACATAGACACATACCTCATAAGCACAAATCCCAAAATCATGGAAGGCGGCTTTCGTCCACTCGATCCCTAAAAAAGGCGACCGCTCAGACCCGTTCAACTACCGGCCTATCGCCATCACCTCCTTGTTCTCCAAAACAATGGAGTCTATTGTTAACTTCCAGCTCAGGAGATACCTTGAGGATCACCAGCTGATTAGTGATCGCCAATACGGTTTTCGCCGTGGTCGATCAGCTGGTGATCTTCTGGTCTACCTAATTCATAGATGGGCGGAGGCAGTAGAGTACAAGGAGAAGGCATTGACCGTTAGTTTGGACATTGCGAAGGCCTTCGATCGGGTTTGACAAAAAGCGCTTCTTTCGAAGCTTCCTTTCTACGGGCTTCCCGAGAAATTGTGCAATTGGATCACCGGCTTTCTTGCAGATCGGAGCATCGTCGTTGTAGACGGTGCAAGCTCCGCTTACAAGCCTATTAATGCTGGTGTTCCACAAGGCTGCGTGCTATCGCCAACGCTGTTTCTTCTGCATATCAATGATATGTTGCAAACCCGTAACATTCATTGCTATTTAGATGACAGCACTGATGATGCTCTTTACATCGGCCGTGCCAATATTTCTCGGGACAACGTCTCCGAGTACCGGGACAAACTTGTGTCTGAAGTCGAGTCTTTGCTGAACGGAGTCTCTGATCGGGGGCGACTAAATCTAGTCCAGTTTAACCCACAGAAGACACAAGTTTGCGCGTTAACCGCTAAAACCGCTCCTCGGTTTCAAGGCACTCCCCTTGTTGCCTCAGCCAGTATCGGAATTCTCGGCGTCAACATATCGAGTGACGTGCAGTTTCGTGGTCACTTGGAAGAGAAGGCCAAATTGGCCTCTAAAAAACTTGGCGTGCTCAGCAGAGCGGGACAGTATTTCATACCGGCACACCGCCTGCAACTTTACAAGGCGCAGGTTCGGCCGCACATGGAATATTGTTCCCATCTCTGGGCTGGAGCTCCCCAATACCAGTTCCTTCCACTTGACCGCATCCAGCGCAGAGCGGTTCGAATCGTCGACGAGCGAGTGCTTTCCGATCGGCTCCATTCACAGGCGCTGCGAAGGGATGTTGCATCTCTTTGCATTTTCTTTCGCATATACCATTGGGAGTTCTCTGAGGAATTGTTCGGATTACTCCCAGCCGCCAAATTTCGTGAACGCACTACGCGGCAAACGTCCCGATATCATCCACAGTCCACGCCATCTGGATGCTTTGCAGTCCACCACTGTACGTTTCACAAGGAGTTTTCTTCCGCGTACGAACACTGTGGAATAGTTTACCACCGGCGATTTTTCCGGACCAATACGACCTGGGGACCTTCAAAAGAAAAAGAAAAAGAGCTTACTCCTTTCTAAAGGGCCGGCAACGCACCTGCAATTCCCCCTGGTGTTGCGGTTGATCATGGGCGGCGGTAGTCACTTAACATCAGGTGAGCCGCATGCTCGTTTGCCCCCTCTTCTATAAAAAAAGCATATTTAATTATAATATCACATCAGATAAAATCAAATTTAACGCTGATCCCGTTATTAGTCTTTACTTATGGAATATTGTAATCAATGTAAACACAGTATAAGGGTTAAAAATCCATACAACTCACATGGACATAGTAATAACTAATAGTCCTAGCTTTTCTTTTGGTATATGACGAAAAGCTAAGAAGACCCCATCATTGTAAACGAAGCGCCTTGTCTAATCTTGGTCCATGGTCAAATTCGTGCATCTTTGTTTTTCATTGTGGACGTCTATAGACAACAGTCCATTAAGTTGGTAAATACTAAATATTACAACGCTCGCTTGCAACTGTTTTGACATTGTAAAATATTTATTCAAATTTGTAAAGGTTACACACTAATATTTTTAGGTAAATATTTTAACGAATATTGTTTCTACCGTAGGGGAGCTGGTAGTGGGAGCGGCGCACAGCGTGGTGCTGCTGACACCGCTGAGCGAGCGCGACAGCGGCCGGTTCGGATCCTTGTTCGTAACAAACTACAAGCTCTCGTTTGTGCCACTAGAGACCTCGCAGTACGATGTAAGTGGATATTGTGTACCGTTTCAGACGACCTCATCGTTCACGTGGTGGTAAGTGGTTGTTGGTGTCCATGAAAATGTTTAACTAACTCCAAACAAAGAAGGTTTCTGATACGTTGTTACCCCTTTAAGGCTACAATAAAATGTCTCACAGCCTTATGGGCGGGGTCGTGCCGGCTTGAAGGGACTAAGGGGAAAGAAAAACGGTTAGATGGTGATACTAACCAAGACTCTCTCCTATTCACAAAAGAAGCTCTGTCATCAGTGTCAGATACGATGATAATAAATTATTTTACAAGAATAAGCACACGTTATCATGATTTGATCTTTTTTGCATGATGCAAAAGTCTCTTTGTAATGAATGAATTTTCTTCCATTGTCAAAGTCTCTTCTGCAAGTTATCAAGGTTCACTGCATGTAACTGATATTATGAGAAAATAACTGATGAGGAAGGAAACTGATATTAAGAGAAAAGATTAGTATATTATCCCATAAATTTTTAAAATCAACGCTGATGATACCTTGATTGTAAAAAACAAATATTGTAAACATTGTCTTGTGTAATGGCTACGTACTATGCCGAGTACATAAATTCCCGACGGTGTTGCAAAAGAAGGCAAAGAACCGTCGATTGTATTATCTTTGGCGCTTTGCTGAAATTCCATACTACCAAGTCTTATGATGTGACAAACATTGATGATTGGTACTGCCCATCAGTGAACTGACTGTAATTATTGTGATCGTTCTCAAATTCGAACTAGCTAAAAAGCCAACTCTTGGATTCCATTAGCGTAGTGGTGAATAAAACTTATCCTGTTTTCCGTAACATCATTTTAAACATTTAAATGATATACGTGGTAGAGTCATACTGCAGCTATATTATGGTTGTAGCACGGATGGGTCGACTCAACCGGGGAAGGACCACACTCTCACAGAATACCAGCGTTAAATAGTAGCTTAGTGTTGCTGTGTTTCGTATGCTGAGTGTAGAGAACCGGAGACCTCTACACTTCACATTTTAGACCTTACGAGTGAAAACGCATCTGCATACTGATTCTTAATCGGGGATAAATGTAGATGCCTATGGGCCTCAGCATCCACTTGTCATCAGGTGGACTGTGTGCTCGTTTGTAACCCTTATTTTATAAAAGAAAATACAATCATCTGTACTTCTCAAAATGATTTGGTCTCTAACCAGCACCTAACATTGTTACTTTCCAGGAGTATGGTCAAAAGAACCATCTACTTGGTACGTTCGACGTGCCGCTCACAGGTGTAGGCGCGTTGTGGCTGACTGATGGCGGGCCGCAACGGAGGCGCCGCTTGCTGCCATATGCAGATATGCCCGGGAAGGTCAAGGGATTGCAGGTCATATGCAAGGTTGGTTAAATCTCTTTTGTAATGATATCCAGATCACTCTACCACTTTCCATAAACCCCATTGATTGCCTCATATATTTGTCAATGTTGCCATGGTTTCCAGGCGTTTCAGCAAGTGCAGTTTTTTATTATTTTGAGTTATTAGATGAAATATGAAATTAAAATTTACAGAAATGCGGTCTAAAGTATTGGCTAACCCTGTATAATAGGATGATGAATTGAGTAATACGAAAAAAGTGTGCTTAGTAAGAAGATGTTATGTTGACAAACATAGATGACCGATGTTATGTTGAGCCGTGGTAGCTCAGGTGATTAGCGCTGGCTGTAAATTTCACAGTACGCGAGCAAACCGGGTTCGATTCTCGCCGGCACCAATGAAATTTTTAATTGCAATTTTAAGTGCTGATTTACCACGTGCTCGACGGTGAAGGAAAACATCGTGAGGAAACCTGCATGTCAGAGAAATAAGAAAAAACCAATATTTCGAAGATATGTGAAGTTCGCCAACACGCATTGGGGCAGCGCGGCGGACAATTCATTGACCTAAAACCCTCGCAGAAATGAGCGTAGGCCTGTACTCAGCAGTAGGACGTATATAGGCTGTAACTTTACTTTTACTTTACTTACTTTATGTTGTCCAAGATAGGATAAGAATGCTTCGGCGGTCTGGACACATAGAAGAAATAAAATACCAGAAAGACGCTGATGCTCATCTCCTGTTTTATTTCCCTTTTTCATCTCGAACAGCACCTACGGGATGATATAAGATCGTGGACCCTAAACTATTAAGTCATTCTGCAGCCGGGCTAGCATGAGCGGGGGATAAAAATTTTATCCACCGATTATATCCACTGACAAGGGATAAAATTGACTTATTCCTATGTCAAAGCTTTATCCACCCTGCGAGCATGGGCCTATGGTGGATATAATATCGACAGTAGATAAACTTATCCCCGCGCATAGATAATATACGATAGCAAAGATGTTTTATAAAACATCTTTGTACGATAGTATAAAGCTATAAACTATACTAGCTATAAACTTCTTTTAAGGTTAAGTAGATTTACATTAACTTATATTTTCTTTTACCTTTTGTTTATTATATTGCTAAACTGTTAATAATTTTTGTTAAACAATATGTCATTTATAATATTTGTTATATTTATTTTAAGCGTATTTCTGCCTTGTTTTTATTTTTTTCTATTATTCTAATTCTTTCTTTATTTTCTTTTGTATAATATTTAAGTTAAGTATACATTGCTTGTATCAAATCGCAGGTATTACTTCGCTTGTGATAGCATTTATTAAAAAAAATATTTGTCTAGAATTAAGCCAATTGCGAAACTGGACGATACAGACCCTTTGGAGGTGGTGTAACCTCTTGAGGAAATTAAAAAAAATTATCCCAGCAATTACTGCCATTATAAGAAAATTACAAAATACATCAAAATTGATGTCTACTCTAAGTCACAAAGATTTAATTTTAATTGAAAATGACTAAACATGAAGAATAAAAATGTAATGATTACAAACAAAACAAGGAATAAATAATTTTATAATCATGAGTATTGTGTTATTTGTATTCCTAATATTATGTATATTAGTCTTTAAACTTGTATTTACCTACACAAGAGGCTAATTAAAGTATATTGCTCCACACATTCTAATGATGGCCCCAATAATTTAGGTCAAGTATTTGCTGATTATTTGTTGTTTGAACAACAGCCATGCCATGGTCTTGAATCGTACCTCTCTAGTAGGTAACTACCTTCTGCCAAGAGACTGAAGGATGTAAACTACCTACCTAGAAAAAATATTAAGATAAGTTACATAAGCCACATGTATTGATTGCAAATATACGATGTTTTTGGACAAGGTGGTTGTAATAGATGCTTACTTCAATATGTACTGGTAGTCCATCCACAGAAGTAATAGGCTTTAAAGCCTCATAGAGTTCTTTACACAAATACAAAACAATATTTGAGCATCCGAAACCGGCGTAGAAATTCGTTGTCGGAGAATTCCAATAGGTTAAGTATTCTGATCACGTATCCATCGCTGGTGTAATTTTCTTTCTTGTTTTTCAATTTCTGACACGAAAATGTAGTTGCAATAGGCTCGAGACATCTTTTTTCGTATTAAAATGGTTTGAAGATAAACTTAAACCCACGTCCGCGAAAGAGGATAAAATTGTCCCTTTCAAATGTCAAAAAGGGATAATTTTTTCTCTTTCCCTTGGCCTCATGCTACGGACGGGGGAGATATATGTCTACTCGTTATGTCAAACGGGAATATACTATAGAGAAAAGATAATTTTATCTCTTGTCAGTGGATATAATCGGGGGATATAATTTTTGTCTCTTGCTCATGCTCGCAGGGTGGATAAAACTAAGCAAGGGATAAAATTATATCCTCTCTCCGGGGATATATTCTCTCCGGCTCATGCTAGCCCGGCAGACGATGCATTTTATTTTACTTCTCGGGCGTTACAATGCATCTGCATTTTGATTCTTGAGATGACCGTTTTTACCGTCTGAAAAAAAATATGTTGTAACATGTGAACTAAGTAGAAGCCTATGGCACTGATATTTTACAAAAAATAAAAACAAAAATTTTAAATTAAATATCATTAATTAAAATCAATCTAAATCAAACATTATCCACCCTACTCACAAATTATTAGGGGGTAATCTGTGACCCTACTTTACGAACGGCAATAAAACAATAAATTTAGTAGGCAAATCTTTGACCTTGTCACTTCGCAGGGTCACAGGCAAAAGGTCAAGGGCAAATGGCAAAGTTTATAAAAAGGTTTAATTCAAAATTTTTGTTTTTATTTTTTGTAAAATATCAGTGCCATAGGACTTCTACTCCATTCACATGTTACACCCTATTTTTTTTAAATGGTAAAAAGTCATCCAGTATAAAAAAGAAAGTTATAAAAACCACCAGAGTATGTGGGAGAAATAAATATTTATTAATATTAATATCGTTATTAAGATGAAATACGTAAAACAAGTAGGTACATAATATATCAAATGATGATAAAAATTTTAAATACGTTTTTGATATTCCTACAGCTTGTTTTACACCTACATGTAATAGCAATGATGGTAAAGAATAAAAGTTATTTGTTCATTTCAGAATATGAAAGTTATGACATTCAGCTTCGCAAACTCACCGATCGGCAACGGAAGGAAAGTAGCGATGGCGCTCATACACCACGCCTTCCCCAAGCGGCACGACCTTCTGTTCGCCTTCGAGTATAGAGAGCCCTATTACCCCACGCTCCCCTCAGACCTCAACATGTTTCAACGGCCAGGGGACTGGAAGAGGGAGCTGGAACGTTGCGAATGTCCACATTGGAGGATCACATGTATCAATGGAACGTCAGATGCCTTCATGCTAACCGCCGGCGAAACGCTAATAGTACCTAGTTCTGTACTGGATTATAATCTGATGGAATCCGCGAGACATTTTAGGTCTGGGAGGGTCCCTATTTGGGTGTGGGGGAGGCCGGAGGGTGCGGCGTTGTTGAGGAGTGGGGAGTTATTGGCAACGGAACAGTCTGCTACTGCCGAGAGTGTTTTATTGGAACAGGTATGGATAATAGGAACACGTTTTGAGTTATAGTAATTTCTAATGATATTTAAAAGTTTCAGCTATAAGTTACACTCCTGTCCGCAGGCATCTTCTCATTTCTGAAAATGTTTTAGGGTATTTACTATCGTATCAAAATATTATTTATATTTCGTTAATTTCAACATTTTATTTAACTTTTGTCTTAGAATAAAATACAACATAAACAAATTCAAAATTACAGCTTTTCGAATATAATATAGTTTTATTATAATTAAAATCTTTTGCTTTATGTCAAGTTATAATTTATTCAATAGATTATAAATTTTTATTTTACGAATGAAATTATCCTACGACACTACTCAAAAATAAAATAAAAAACCGTTACCCTTATGTATTTGCACAATAAATTTTAATTTTAAATATATTGATTTTTGGCCCGACCCAGGATTTGAACCTAGGACCTCATGATCAGCAGTCGCAATACTACAACCACTAGACCAACGAGGAGTTATTATATTTATAATTTATATTACAACTTTTCACTTACATCTGAGCGGTGAATTATTAGCCCTCATTGAGTTAAAATTCAGTTGAAATTGAATGAATTAGTTGAGTAAATAGTGTGAAGTGTTAATGGCGTGTGTTGAGGTGCGGCGGTCGCACCCGAAGCTGACACCGCCTCGGGTGCTGTACCTGTGCGGCAGCTCGGCGGTGAGCGGCGCCTCGCCCGCCGCGCCTCCCGCCCCGCCACCGCTGCCGCCGCTGCACGCGCTGCTCGCCGCGCACAAGAAGCTCGCCGACCTCTGCACTCCCACCACGCTGCCCAACTTCTGGGTCAGTCACACCTTCCGTTAAAATCTACCTATCTCTCTCTCTATCTCTTCTCTCTCTCTCTCTCTCTCTATCTCTCTCCTTCTCATGTAGTAAAGCCACTCAGTAGTTACATTATACCGGAATTAATTAATTTATTTTATAGATTAAGCATAAACGAGCACACAATCCAGCAAGTGGTGAGTGAAAGCTGTGGCCTATAGACACCTACATCTATCTTCACTTTATCAAATACGTTGTCACCCTTGAGAACTAAGATGAAATGCCTCGTTTCCAGTAAAAATGGTCTCCGGTTCTCTACATTCACCAAACGACACAAAGCAGCATTAAACTACTATTTTACGTTGGTATTCTGTGAAAGTGTGGTCATTCCCCGGTCGAACTGACCCAATCGTGTTACACAACCATAATATAGCTGCGGCAAGACTACCACATATAACTCTTTTTAACACTAACAAGCCTATTTCAACGAGATAGAACCACGATTAAACTACAGGTCTGCTGTATGGCCTGTATTTCCATAGGTCTCAAGATCCACTTACTATCACGTGGACTGTGTGCTTGTGTGTCACCCTTATTTTATAAAATAAAACAAACACGAAGCACTACATACATTCCAAATGACGCAAAAACCACGCTCAACTTATTGTAAAAACGCGTAAATATATGCGTCTAAAGTCATTAGCAACTAAAAACATAGTTTTACATGCATATGTAAACATACAATAAGGTTTTTCGAACTAATGAAAAAGTGTGTATTTTTCATAATGGTTTCGACGTCACTTAAAATATACACAGCGCTCGGTCTATCATTCTTTATTGCTTTGAAATCTGCCTATAGTTTTAATATAGTAATAATATATATTGAATAGAATCGTCCTAATCAGGTAGTGTAGAGGTAACGGGAGCCATCTCAAATAGAAGAATAGTTGAAAAAGTGTCCACCTGTAAGCAGTAAATAACAGTTCAAAAACTCTCCACAATAGATATGAAATGAACATAGCAGTTGTCGACGGAGTAAAGTGTGCTGAAACTACAGTATTTAAAATCTCAACTACTCAAGTTGTTTAAAATAATTTAGTAAACATAAACTATATAAAGGCGCCGTAAAACAAGTTGAGAGTAATTTTGAAAATATATATTTTGAAAACAATACAATAATTATTATAAAAAAGAATTATGGTGATAGTCTGTGGAATAAAATATAATAAAAAATCTTTAAAATTTACCCTCTAGCTACAGTGGCGCTACCCTTATTTAGCGCTTTCCTACGGACACTCAGATACGGTTCTCCTTACCTCTACACTCCATGGTTCTACTACTAAGAGCCGTGGTAGCTCAGTGGTTAACGCTCGCTGTAAATATAACAGAACGCGAGTAACGCGGTTTCGATCCCCGCCGGTACCAATGAAATTGTTAATTGCAATTTTAAGTGCTGATTTACCACGTGCTCGGCGGTGAAGGAAAACATCGTGAGGAAACCTGCATGTCTGAGGAATAAGAAAAAAAAATATTTCGAAGACATGTGAAGTTCGTCAACAACGCATTTGGGCAGCGCGGCGGACACTTCCTTGCCCTAAACCCTCTCAGAAATGAGGGGAGGCCTGAGCCCAGCAGTGGGACGTATATAGGCTGTAACTTAACTTAACTTAATGATTTCTTATATTTACGCTAACACTATATACATGATTAAAACTACTTTTACGGATTTTATCGCGTTTATTTTTAAATATAAAAATAAAAATAAACGCGATAAAATCCGTAAAAGTAGTTTTAATCATTAACTTAACTACACTCCATGGTTCTAATAAATTGAAGTGACAGACTGGTTTCGGCTCAGAAGGGCTAGAACCTAGAGCTGTAAAGCCAGTTAATTAAAAAAAAAAGAAGTGACAGACGAACTCACAGTCCACCTGGAAGTAACTTCAAAAAAAGTAAGGTACAGATGTCATCCATGAGGACTAAGATAGTATACCTCACGGCCTGTTATTATACTGGCTTTAAAATAAATGAGGGTCGTACCTCTGTAAGGGTACAGACCCCTGAACAGAAAAAAAGAGTCCAGTAAGTTTTTAACGTATTATTTTTTCACTTAATAATGTGCCCTCCCTTTAAGAAATTTTCCTTCCATTAGTAATTTATGCTTTGCATATATGTTTCTCAGTTACAAGACTCGCAGTACTACTCGATTTTAGACTCTAGTCGGTGGCTTCGATACGTAGCGAACTGCCTCGCTTTTGCTGACGACGCGGCCTCACATCTCACAGCCAACGTCACCGTTGTGTTACAAGAAGGTATTATAATTGTATATATTCTTGTCTTATATTACGTACTTCCCATAACTGGGCAAGGGCGTCTTATCCAATTGATCATTTATTACATTAATTCATCCTCTTTCTTTTTTGATACAATTTACTCACAATGCTAGTTCTTACGAGTTTACAGAACATTTTAATATTTGCTGGAATAAGTAATTAACATAAATAACAGAACACCACTGTGAAATAGCAGCTTAATGCTGCTGTGTTTCGCTTGGTGAGTATAGTATACAGGCGACCTTTTTTACTGGAAACGAAGCATTCCATCTTATTCTTTTGAGGTGACAACGCCATCTGCATTTTGATTCTTAATTGAGGATAGATGTAGATCTTTAGTATGAGGAAGATTGTGTGCTTGTTTGACACCATTATCTTAAAAAAAATCATTTTTATATAAAAGATAGTTCTTATCTTTTGAAAAGTAATATGTTATAAATTATAAAGACCAATTTATATTATTTTAATTGTCTGTCGTGTGCTCATGGTTTGCCATTCCAAACTTTCAGACTCTTCCCATTTCATTACTAATAATCCGATAACAATATCATTAGGAACATTCCTTTAAAATTATATTATGATTTTAATTTGTTTTTTATTTTTTATTTTTACAGGCGATGGCGTGGACTACTGTGCGGTTGTGTCGTGTCTAACGCAGCTCTTAATAGATCCGTACTTCCGTACGATATCTGGCTTCCAGTCCTTAATTCAGAAAGAGTGGATAGCACTCGGACATCCCTTCTGTGATAGGTGAGATTTTGTCACAACAATTATAATATTAATGTAAAATTATAATATGTTAGTGGCAACCCTGTACTGGCCAGCGTAGGGTTGTGTAACTCCCACTTGATGGAGTGACAAATTGTTAAGAAGAAGCAGTCCGGAGCAGTTCTTCTTCAACCCCTAATTTTAATTTATTCTGTTATAAATTTTGCGTCTACAAAAAAAAATTAGCCTTATCGATTTTATATGCCAGTTATGTCTCATTAGTTAAAAACAATTTCAGCTTTTCTGCCCAGCTCAGTTGTTCTGCCCTTTTCGATGACCCTTTGGCATGTCCTATTAAAAATCCTTAAATTCGCAAAAAAAAAAATTGTGGGTCACTCATGGGCAAAAAACTATCCTATCTCTCAGTTGGACCAAACTACACACGGTGTGCAAATTTGATTAAAATCGGTTAAGTAGTTTAGGAGCGGTCCGTCGCCGACAAACAACGTGACACGTAATTTATATATATTTCTATACCTATTATAAAGAGTGTACCACCAGTGCATATTGCCAATGATGACACATGGAGATGAAACATGGTCCTTCACTTCTGGCCATATGAGGATGTTCGAGGTCGCTCATTCAGCTATGGGGAGGGCTTGAATGCTCAGAGTTTATCTGCGCGACAGATTTCGTAATAAGGATATCCGCAGTAGAACCAGTGTTACTGACAATTCAGCGGATCAGTAAGCTGAAGTAGGTCTGGGATAACCATATAGCTCAAAAAAAACCCTGTATCGGTAGGCGAAGTGTAAAACAGGCTCTTACTATAGAGTGACGAATTGATAAAAGATGCAGGAAGTCGATGGATGCCGATGGCTCAGGACCATGTCTTGTTACATTCATTTGACGAGGCCTATTTACAGCAGCGGACTTGTGAAGGGTTTAAATGATGATGATGAACAATGAAAAAGCGGGGCGGCGCCCTACTAAATGGTGTGACGGTTTGGTAAGAGATGCAAAAATTCGATGCATGTTGGGGGTTCAGTACCGTGTTTTGTGGCATTCATTGGCCTATGTTTTCTTATGGTATAAGGGTGACAAGCGAGCACACAGTCTTCCTGATGGTAAGTGGATGCTGTGGCCCATAGACATCTACATCTATCCTCAATTAAGAATCAAAATGTAGATGCGTTGTCACTTCTGAGGGCTAACATGGTGTGCCACGTTTCCAGTAAAAAGGGTCTCCGGTTGTCTACACTAACCATACGAAACACTGCTGTGTTTAGCATTAAGCTACTATTTTATGCTGATACTTTATGAGAGCGTGAACTTCTCCGGTAGAGACGAACCATTCGTGCAACGACCAAATACAAAATATCTGTTATCTCTTTAGAAGCGATTTCTTCCAGAAAACCTCTTTGCGCAAAGAACTGTTGTGTGTAATGAACTGCGGATAGGGAAGGTGTATATAAAAGCACAAGATGATGACAGTCGAGGATAGGTTGTAGTTGTGCATAGCAGGGCAGTTGAGGAACGTTAGTGTGGCAGGCTGGGGCTGCCGCGGCCGGGCCCGGGCCGGGAGTCCCCGGTGGCGGCGCCCGTGTTCCTGCTGTTCCTGGACTGCGCCTGGCAGCTGCTGCAGCAGTTCCCCGCTGCCTTCCAGTTCACCGACACCTACCTCGTTACGCTCTGGGACTGCGTGCACAACCACCTCTTCGACACCTTCCTCTTCAACTGCCCCAGGGACAGGGACCTGGCTGTGTCCAAGGTAAAACGTCTTAACTAACTTTTACACTTTATTCTATTTCATACTTTATTTTATAAATTTTTTTATATTTTATTTATTTAATCTTCATTGTAATACACCTTTATCCAAGGGTTACAAAGGGCGAACTTAATGCCTTATGGCGTTATCGATCAATCAACCTTAAGAGAAATAGATAAATAAAAATTGGTGGGTCATAAAAATTTGTTAAAAATGTCTAGACATTATGACGCAAATAAACATAAAATATACAGGTGTTTGAAAGATGGATGCAAAGCCTAAAAGGAATGATACCTTAAACCATTTAGAACATATTAAAGCTAAACTTGTCTCAGACGGCTCCGTTTTTTTAACCGACTTCAAAAAGAAGAGGGTATTTAATTCTACTGTATGTTTTTATGTGTGAATTTTCAGAATTTTCGCTGGGGGAACCGATTTTGATAATTCTTTTTTATCTAAAAGCTGGTGCTTCTCGTACGGTCTCAAATAAATTTAATTAAGATATGACCAGTAATTTTTAAGTTATCTTTAATAATGCGTATTTAATGGACTTCGAATATATTGATGATGTTCTCAATTTAATTATATTGAAGTCGGTTGTACAAAATTATTAATTTTACTACTTGTTAAATTGAATTTCTAAAGTTCTTAACAATAAAACCCATTCTTTTTTTCCATTAATTCGTAATAGTGTCTAGTAACAGATTTTATGTTATTATTTTTTAGTTCCGTAATGTGCGGTTACTCAAATAAAACAAATTCCAAACATCATCATCAGAAAAACAATCTACGCATTTAAGTTTAAGAAACCAAATAATAAGTTAAGGAAAAGTATCATACTTGCAAATTATTTTGTTTGAGTAATCACACATAACATAAATAAAAGATAATAACATAACTGTTACTGGACACTATTAGTAATAAATTGAAAAAAAAAAAAAGGTTTTGTTGTTAAAAACCGTAGAAATTCAATTTAAAAAAGGAGCAAACTTCGACTAAGACAAGTTTAGCTTAATATGTTCTTAATAGTTTAAGGTATCATCCCCTTCAGGCTTTGCACCAATCTTCCAAACATCCTTTATATGCATTTATACTAATATACATATAGAACAACAAAAATAAATAAATAAATAATGCATATATAAAAAGTAAAAATTGAAATAGGTCAGATAGAAATTTGCAGAGGAGTTTCAGAATAGGTAATATAAGCAAACGGTGAAAATAAATAAGAAAAAAAAAACTCAAATATTTGTCCTTTTTATCTTTTATATTCAAAGTGTGTGAAATGCATTATTTTAACTAATTGTCAATCATAAATACATAGCGCCCACTATTTTATTACCTACGCACAAACACATTCGTAAGGGAGTGTTGAATTCGATAGCAGTCGGTAGCATTTGGCCAGTTCGGCGCAGTTAATTTCGAAAACGAAAATATTCGAATCGCGAATACTATGAAATGTTATTAAAGGATTATTCGAAAGTGTGTCTTTACCGCGTTTGCAAAGACAAGGAATCAACGCACATGTACCACCCAATCGAAAAAACATTTTTGCACCTAACTATTAAAAGTTAGATTTTGGACAGTTCACCACTCCGTCACATGGAAGTATGTTTCTAGGAAGACGCTGCTGCCCGTCTCCTGCCTGCTTCCCTCTGTCGCCTCCACGGAGCAAATACAAAGAGGAGGTGTTATAATTAGATTTCACTATGTAACAACGCGTGACAATTTGCGGGGTGAGGGGGTATTAAGCGCCGCCCACTTAACTATTTTCCATCTACCGGTAAATAGTAAAACTACTCGCATCGTTCCATATCGATGTCGCAATGTAGTTTAGCTACCTTACGCTTGGTGTGGGATATAAGGGGACGTACTCAGAAATTTCGTACCAGGGAGTATTTATTTCAAGATTAATTTTGTGAATCGTCTTGTAATTCCATCCAATTTTTTTATTGAAATACCTTCTTTTTCACAAGTTTAACTTTCATTTGAAGTCTTCTGATATTTAGCCCATCTTTTTTCGATTTCCATCGAAGTTGTTCTATCTCTCGCTTTAGCTTGTTTTTTCTAGGGGAATCGTGAAATATCAAAAATTCATTTAAATCATTTGTGGTAGGCCTAGGTGATGATATTGAGGGCTCTGGTAATTTTCTTTTAACCTGTAATATAAAGTATAATACAACAATATGAAATTAACACCTACCAAAAAAAAAACTAGTAAAATACAAACTGCGACCGACCGAACCGATATATCCAGATTAATACTGGGTAAAGTTCCCTTCTTTAATTTTTTAAAGCCATTTTTTTGTAACTGTCAAGTCGTCATAATTGAAATGGCAAGAACAAATCTTTGTATATTTTGTCGGAGTCCAGTCTTGTCTCTTAATTTTTGCTATCCATTGATGTTTAAGATTACCTTCGGATGGAAATCTAGAATATAAAGTAAATAAAATAAGCTTTTTAACTAACTGAACTACAACTGTTATAATAGTTGTCTTTCTTAAGAAAAGTTCCAAGGAGACTGAATATTGTACATAGAATATTTAATTTCATGAAGACTTTATTTTACTAAGGATAAAATAAATATTTCTTGAAGATTGACTTTTACAAAATGCTAAATATTTAAGTTTTTATATACATTATACTATTTTAATGTTTAAAATACTTTCAAGATTATTTACATATGATATCTAAAAATCTAAAAATCTTGAAAGTATTTAAACATTACTTAGGAAGGAAACATTACTTAGGCTGATTTTTTACGAAATGTAATATATATATTGCCGTGGGTAACTGGGTAAAATAATTGGATTCTAATTACGGCCCTGTCTTTTTATTTTATTTTTGATTGTTCTTTTACTTGACGGTAGATGGCGGCCTGTTTACAAAATGATTATAAAATCTATAAAAGTAATATTTTGGCGATTAAAAATTCTTTAGGATTGAAACCAACTTCAAAAAAAATTTCAGCATCTTCGTATGATTGTATTACCAATACTGAGCTCGACGTACCTTTATATTTTTAGTTCCCACGACACAAAGTGTCGCCATCTAGTATCGAATATATTTAATTATATTTGAAAGCCGACGCAAAGAGATCTTTCTAGAATTATTTTAATAAATTAGTTATATAATTACTTACACGTGAAATGTGATACCATTCATAGCATCAAAACGTCTATCTGAGTAGTTTTTACACGATAAAACACAACACTTCATCCTTTTCTTCTTAATAATACGAAAATATACTGATTTGCAATTTTCGACACCTATGCGCACAGGACGAACGCTGACAGTATACTAACTAAAGCCACGCCCACTGTGATGACGTCAGGACCTAGTTAGAATCACAGTGCACAGTTGGTTAGGCCGTCTCCTCTTTATATTTGCTCCGTGGTCGCCTATTACGACACCCACGGGGTGATATGCGTTAGTAGATATTCTTACACCGTCATTACGCGGCTCAAGGAAAGCTATTTAAAATTTACTAAATTCTGGTTGGGGATATGTATATGAAACTAAACACAACATCGTTTAGCACATTTTCCAATTACAATGTAACAACGTTTGTTGTTACATTGTAATTGGAAAAATCACATAGATAAAGTTTGTTCTAAAATATTTAAATTTAATTTTGCTCTGCGAAGGCTAACTTCAATCTCGTCAAGAAACACTTCCCTTATAGCATATCATGCATATGTCGCTGCTGTATTAAGATATGGTCTCATATTATGGGGAAACTCGACTGATGTAAATCGTGCTTTTATAGCACAAAGACGCTGTATACGAGCAATTTGTGGTGTCGGGCCAATACTTTCTTACAAACCACTATTTAAAGAATTGGGTGTTCTTACGCTACCATCCATGTACATTTTTGAACTTTCAATATTCGTAAAAAAGTATCCTCATTTTTTTTACTAGGTTAAAAGATACAGTAACATATAGTACCAGAGACCTGGATAAAATTATTTTACCTTCATTAAAAACTAGCCTGTACTCAAAAAATTGCTATGTGATGATTATTCAAGTATTTAATAAAATCCCAAATGAAATAAGGCAACTAGATTATAATCGATTTAGACGTAATTTATTAAAGTGGCTTTTAGAAAAACAATTTTATTCGGTGAATGAACTGCTAAAAATAAAAGAACGTTTCTATTGACTGTTAAACGCTGTTTCTTATTTGATTGTGTTTTAAAGGATTAATATTAAATATTGTAAAGTGATTACGCACGTTTAATTTTACTTAAATTTTGTATATTCTAACAATAAGTTGATTAGTAAATAAGTTTTCATATATCATAATTGGTGAAATTTGTGTTACATTATTATTTTATAAGAACATCCTTGTACCATATTTATTGTGAATAAATTTATTTATTACTAAAAAAAACAACAAAAAAGTTAAAAAGGGATTTAGTTTATCATTTTGTATAACATTTCTTACAGAACTTTACCCCAAGGCCGGTTTGGGATTGGGGTGAACAGTTCTCGGAACAAGACAAGGCATTATTCTACAACCCTCTGTATATGATAAGCAAACCCATCCCGATGACTGCACAGAGGTTAAGTAAGTACCAAAAGTTTTATTTTCCTTCATTTTTAAAACAAAAATTATTTACAAAAATTTTGTATAATCGTTATTTGTTAGTCAGTGGCAGTTCACTGCTGGACAAGCATACTGTTACGAGCTTAAGGTTCGTGACAGTAAAAACTGCCGATTGAATTACCAAAATTGACACTTTGATTACTGAACACCAATTAAAACTAATACACACTAATAATTAATCACAATGATCACTTAAGTTCACTTTGTTTCACTCCTAAAGCTTCGCTCGTATCGCCAATTCAATACTTCCCCGGTTGCGGCCCTTAGCAGCTTTAAATACGCAATTTCCACCGAAACATCCATAATGTTCCAGCAAATATATAGGGACCGGCTATCGACTAAGTACAGAAAATTCGAGAGTGGACTTTTCTAGAAAGCTTAATTCTTCTATTCGTTACTTGATGGCGCTGTTGGGAGAGTTCCAGAAAGATCTTGACACTCATATTTCTGACACTTGATACCAGATGGCGCTAGTGCCATCAACCGTGGCGCGCAACAATACTATATAGCCTGGCATGCATTTTGTGAAAGCGTTGGTCATACTCATAGATAGGAGAGGGCAAAATGGTGAGCGCTGAACTGATAACTGATACTGTCGTTCTGGCACAGTACAAGCCACGAAAGATGAGACTTGACGCACCATGTTGTTGGATTTACGCTGTAGACGACTTCTTTAGCGAGTATTCCCGGATGCGAGAAAGGCCCGGTACTCGTCATGGCGAGGAAAAGTACCGCGAGTTGCGGTGAGGTGCAGGGTTAATACCAGTCCTCGTATATTAGCAATATTATGGATCCCAAAACAGTACCCTGAGATATACCGTGCTAAACTCCTTTGTAAGGTGTTCCGATGAGATGGCGCTTTTGATGGCATAATTGACATAGAGTTATTTCTTAGCTTTCATTAATTATTCTAAAAAAATGTCTGCTATCTCCCCCTGCTATGAACCTTATGTCAGTGTCAGAAGGGTATCCGGTTCTCTACACTCACCATACAAAGAAGACTTCAAAACATTACACACTTAATTAAGAAATTCGTCGAATTCTTTAAACCTAAAAATAATTTTACCGTTGAACGGCATACATTTTTCATTCGTAGCCAGCTAGAAGCCGAATAGATTGAACAGTATGCATTTGAACACTGCAAGTTCCTAGTGTGACTTTTGACAGCTACGGAAGGAACTGATTCGAAGCTGATTAATTTGTGGTATAAAAGAAACGTCGTTACAATAACTTTTATTACGAGAGTGTGATCTTACACTTAGGAAAGTCCTAGAGATATGCAGGTTTTAGGCAAAGTTTTATTACGAATTTTATTGAAAAGGCATCATGGAAGACGAATTCGTAAAAGCAGAAAGTACTAATCTACCATGGATAAATAAATTGATGTGGCAATTTTTTTTGCATGCAATCACATTTTTTGTTCTCCTGAGTTGAGGAATGTTAACATCGATATAAATACCTATTACCTACTTTTGTTTATACAAAAATACAACACCAAGTGTAAATACACTCTGTATTTCTATAAAACATAGTTTAGTAGCTATCATAGTGTAGACTTTAGATTATCTATAATTACAATCATTAGTTATAATATCTAAGTTAACGTAATTTATTACAAAATTTGACTTGCGATACCCTTCACCTCATGATGTTTGTTTTGTATTAAACGATGGTTAAATACAAAACAAATAAAAAACGCGTTATTTGTTTGTATTATACAACATAATAATAAATACTTACATCAAAATGATCTTCACAGAATAATTGTCTGGTTTACGTAGACAATGTATTCGGGTAATTTCTTGCCAGTTTTAGCAAAGTATTTCTTATATTTAAATCAGTTAGTACTTGAATCCATAACTTTCCCGGCGTTCTTGTGCTCGTATTTTTGCATTGAGGCACAACACTACAATGATTTAGATGATAACTCATTATTAAACATTAAAAAGTATCTTATTTCTTTGCAAAATCGGCAGAATCGACGACTGTGATGTCAGCTGGCGGCTAGCGTTTTCACGCGAAAATTTAAAACGATAGATTAAAAGTAATTTTTATGGCACTATTCGGTTTAAAAAAAATATAAAATTATAGTGGTTCATTATCACTCTAGGATTGGTTTAAAACAATTTTTGAAAATGGGTAAAAACATTATTTTATGACTTAAGGCCACATTTGGATTTACCAAAAGTTTTATTTTAACTTTTTTGTACATTAAAATATTAAAAAGCTATCATTATAATATTATAACATACATTTTACTTTTATTCATAACAACATGTAGTACAATTTATGATAAAATTAGGAATAATGATAGTTCGAACTAATCTCAAACGTTTTCATATACGCACTTTGGAATTTAAACAGGTGTCATAAGTCGCTTACGCGGCTGGGATTACAACTTGTATTTTGACCCACTTGCTGCAGCTGCTGCATAAATTCGGAGCGAGGCTCAGAAAGCAATGAGGACATCATATGGGGTGTCGACAATATTCAATGCCAGATTGAATGCCAATTCAGAGACTTGACAGGAGAGATTGAATAGGAGAAGGGCGAGCATCACGGTCATCTAGGTCTGGTTACCGTAGTTCTTACATGCATTGTGGTACCATTCGTGGAAGTTTCTCGTGTCCTACTTATGGTCAACAATGCAGCCGATGAAGGAAGTAACGGAACCTCTTAGTAGATGTGTGAAGTCTTGGATGTGCCTTACGGGTATCTATACAATATTTAACGTAATTAATGCACACCCTCAACACCCCAATTAGTATATTATGTTATAATCATAATACATACACTGAATTTTTAGTTAAACATTTTTATGCACTGATTATTTATCGAATTAGTTATACTAATTCCGGAAGAATGTTGTGGTCACAGTACAAAGCCACGAACGCAAAGACTTTAACGTGCTTGAAATAAAGTTCATTTTTCTTTATTTTTATTGAATGACAGAATTAGTAATAATACAAATAAAACTGCACTCTTAAAAGTCTTATTGCCTTAAGTTACGGTCCATTTCAGTTTGTTTTGACTGTACAGATTTAGTGTGGCTGTAATTTACGTAGTTTTAATTATTTTTGGGATAAAAAATTACCTATATTAAAAATGATAGGAATCGATTCAGTAAACGATTCTGAACAAACTACTTTCTCAAAGTGCGTTAATTATGTTACGTGTAGTATAGGATTGTACTTGCGTGCAAGCCGTGTAAGCCGTGGCCCGTGGTGGCTCAAATGGTTAACGCTCGCTGTAAATATAACAGAACGCGAATAACCCGGGTTCGATCCCCGCCGGCACAAATGGAATTGTTAAAGGCAATTTTAAGTGCTGATTTTACCACGTGCTCGGCGGTGAAGGAAAACATCGTGAGGAAACCTGCATGTTTGAGGAATAAGAAAAAAATATTTCGAAGACATGTGAAGTTCGCCAACACGCATTGGGGCAGCGCGGTGGACACTTCCTTGCCCTAAAACCCTCTCCGAAATGAGGGGAGGCCTGTGCCCAGCAGTGGGACGTATATAGGCTGTAACTTTACTTTTTACTTTTACTTGCGTGCAACGACCGATAATCACCGCAATTCGTTCTGTTTACGGGATAAGCGAAGCGGCAATGACCATGCGTTTTTTTAGATTTGCGTTGTGTCGTTTCGCAACCTTTCGTCGAACTCTTCGTTGCTCAACAACCAATTTATATCGTGTAATATATTCAGATTTCGGCAAGGTATTCGATAAAGAAGATCACAGACTATTCTTACTTCAAGTAACTTACGGGTAACGTACGTGAGGTTACGGGTAGTCTGTTGAGTCGATTACCACGATATGTGGAGCAATAGGGTCCTCATATCCTAGTTAGTTGATCCTCAGGAGTAATACTACATGACTACAAATCTGACAGATTGCTTACACTCTTCTCCGCGAGTTCCTTAAGGATCACACTTAAGTCATCTTTAGTAAATTATCAATGACATCGGTTCCAGTTTCCTTTATTCAAAACTTACTTATTCGCAAACGACTTAATAATCATGTAAGTCATATGCAATTTACAAAGCCGCTCATCTAAGTAGTTGGTGTTAAAATCGTGTTGTGTTATAAATTTTATAGTTTTAAACTATGTATATATCATACATGTTTGATTAGAAATAGTTTATTAATAGGTACAATTTGCTCTTCCATCGATGATTGAGATGCATAGCGTGATAACCTATAATGGAAACAATTTTTTTAATATATTGTAGCATATAATGTAATGTATGTCTTGTTGGTTATCAAAAATAAAATAGATATAATTCGCAGGTATGCCGGCAGGGAGCTGGCGCAACTCGAAGCAGGCGGACGACACCGAGCGGCTTCGGCCGTGCTGCTCGGTGGCCGGCGTGGAGCTGTGGGCGCTATGCTACGAGCGCTGGCTGCCGCCGCTGGACACGCCGCACGCCGGCCGCGTGCACTTCCACTTGCATCACTGCCGCCTGCGAGCGCAGGTACACGCACCCACGCATATACACACACACACACACACACACACACACACACACACACACACACACACACACACACACACACACACACACATACGAACGCACGCATCTACACACACGCGCTCACATAGACACGTGCGCGCGCATATGCACTCGCACACGCACGCATATGCACGTACACACGCACGCACGCATATACACAACCACGAATACATGCACACGCGCACGCATATGTACACACACGCGCGCATATGCACACGCACACTTTCAAACGCGCACACGCGCACGCATATACATCCACAAATGTACATGCACACACAAACACGCACGCACGCTACGCACGCACGCACGCACACACATACGCACACACACACACACACACACACACACACACACACACACACACAACCCTAAATAAATACTTGTTGCGATTTATACCAGGTGCTCGTAGCGCTGCATGCAAAAGACCTTTTATTACATGGGGAAATGCCTCGCAAAAAAACCTCGCAGGGTCAAAAACGGGTTGTGTCAGACTGGCACCGACCACGACCTTGTGGTTTTCCATCTTTTCTGAATATTGATAGGGTCTTGAGAAAGCTTTTGCACATATCACCCGGCTCCCAAGCGTCAGCCGCCCCATATCCACCCCGGAACCCATTTAAGGGGGAAGCTTAGCTAGTCCGGAATGCTAATTACTTACACTCTTTTTTATCTTTCTATACTTGTAGGGTGTACATCCGGCTCGGAGGACCATTAATGTAGGGTGTAGATACCACACTTGATGATATATGATATAAAATTGATATGGTATGATGTGTTATGATATGTATTTGATATGATGTTATAGATGTTAAAGTAAACGACTGCTTGAACTGCTTGCAGAGTACTGGCGCGTTAATGTGCTGTGTTATTAAAACTGCTAAGTTGGCATAAAATATGTACGACTCACCGTGACCGTGACTTTGACCAACAATGAAATATGAACCAAAAACATACGAACTTAAAAACCATGTTGGTTTCAAATGATTTCATGTGCATATGTGTGCGTTAGTACATGCTCTCTTACAATGAGTTCAGTATGGTTTCGACATCTGAAATACACATAATGACCACGTATGTATTGGGTATGTTCCGAAATACAAACTAGTACACTGGCAAATGCAAAAATGCGTCATCAATTGACACTATATTGTACTGCCGTGCCGCCGCCATATTGCTTCGTATATCCGGCCACAATAAAACAATTTTTAATTGTGTGTGCACTGAATGAAGCATGCCAGAATTTGTTTTTATTTATTCAAATACAAAAAATTATAGAATAATTGCTAGTATCTCCATTAAGAAGATATAGTGATTTTTGGAGCACAAAATGACAAAATAATCGCCAACACTTTTCCAATATGGCGTAAATGCATGACGTCATATACTGTCCAATGTTTTGGAACGAATCACCAGTATAGCGACGATTCATGACGTCATTTGCATTGGACAGTACACTGGGTTCTGTTTTGGAACATACCCGTTGTTGTTGGTTTGAGTAACTAATCGTGCCTATTTCCATAGTTTTGATCAAAGCGTGCAACATAGTAATATGCCGATTTCTGGTTTCAGATCCAACAGTTAACCGAAAAACTATCCTCCCTCTCGATAATGAACAACCGACATTCGAACGGCGACGAAGATGCAACGGAGTCGTTCCGTGTACCCGTCGTGTCACGATTCTACCCGTTCAGTCTCAACCGGTACGATAACGCCACGAGGAATTTAGACTCTATGCAGGTCAGCCTTATAGACGCCAGTCAGTTACTTGACTCACAATCTCTTTTAAATGCACCCGATTAAACTATTTGTTACTTTATGTTAAAGTATTAGAGTGTATTTTTAAAGTAAACCGTCATGTAGATATTGTTAGTGTCAATAAAGCGCAATTTCGCTTGCAAAGGCTTCATAGAGGACAGAACAATTTGTTTTTGAGTCTAAAAATACAATGTATTGAAGAGTATTAAGAGTGTAGTGTATAGACATTAATATATTATGTTGTTAGTTAGTGTTTCGAAGTAAATAAATATTTATATATGTAAATACAGAGAAGCTACGTCCGTTAGGAAAATAAGTTATAATGTCTTAAGGAATTGATTGGATTGTGTTTTTTGCGAACAAATTAGTGATTACTTCGTATATTGCGATATATTTATACAACGTGTAACAGGAAGAATTGACAACCCTAAAATACATAATATTGACTCTTTTTGTACGTCTGATAATATAATTTAAACAAAACTAAGCTCTATTCTCTCGTAATAGGATTGCTTTTGCTGAAGTCCAATAAGTAATTAAGTTGACACGAGTAAACATTTGCATTAGTTTATATTAATATAACATAACATAAACGCTCACGCCTGTCACCCAGAGGGGTAGGCAGAGAGTACAGACTTCCATTTAACACGGTCCTGACATACCTCTCTCGCCTCTTCTACATCCATATACCTACGCATACATGCTCGTCGGTTAAGGGTACTCTTAATTTGGCCCATTTTCAATATATCGCCAATTTGGTCGATAAACTTTCGCCTAGGACGTCCTTTTCGGACTCTGACGGCAGTGGCGAAGCCTCTATGAAAGCCGAAAAGCCGGGGCTTGCCTTTTCAAACTTCCTCATTAATTCTTTCTACATTACCAAAACACGGACCCATTCCTTTCTTAATCCTGATCACAACATCATCTTGCCTAGCACACTTTTCTCTTATCACACAATTGTTCACCCTGTCACTCAGATTCAGCCCTAACATACTCCTTAACGACCGCATTTCTACTGCGTTCATTCTACTCTCGTGCTTCTTCTGCCACACCCAACTTTAATTACCATACGTTAAAGTACGGATTAACTCAGTATTGTGAATTGTATTAATATTCCGTCAGGATTAAATTATAAATGTAATTAAATACAAAACCAAATGTGATTTTCACGATTTTGTATTTTCATGTGTACATTTAGTGGGTCTCATACATTTAAAACAATTCATTTAGTATAGTCTACCGTCCACTGCTAAACATAGGAATGATATTTCAAAATCATCTGGCATTCGCAGTTTTATATTATTTTGAATTCCAATAAAGAAAATGCGGCTGCCCATCTCTCGTTTCATTTAGTAGAATTCAAATCATATTTATGTTTGTATTACGATTTTGAATTATTATGAGAGGTTAAGTTAAAAGAATCTAACCCCCAAAAAACTACTTTTGAGATATTAAAGTTTGGATCTTGATACAATCATATTGCGAATTTAGATTTGTTCGTAATTTTCCTTTTTATCGACTGCGACTTTTGCTGGAATTGGTTTACTAAAATAAAATGATATCTTTAAACCTTTGGTTTATTCTGCCATATGAAAATCATTTTTGAACCGAGTTGAATCCCTTTCGATATTGCGACACGTGTCTAAATTGTTTCATTCATTTTGATACACGTTGTATATGATGTATCTTTATTATTTATTTATTTAAATCGAATAAATAAGTAATTTTCATAAACCACCGAAGGCAACGTATGCATGGAAGTTTACGAAAACATGTTTTATTGATCGAAAAATATGTTAGCAAAATTAAGGAAAAAGAAGTAACTTATTTTAGCCTTTAATTTCACAGTGAAAAAACTATGACAATGTCTTCCGTGGTATATGATTGAAAGAAAAAGTGTTATTATCAACCGCTAAGTATGATGTAATCTAAAAAATTCAAATTACTAAATATTGGACGATTGAAAAGTATTTTTGAGCTATATTGAAATATAGAAAAATAAGAAATGACGTCAAAACGTGTCTTAATGTTGTAGTAATTATGAATAGATATTAAAGACCCTGTTACCATTCTAACATAAACAATTACATTTAAGACTTTTTTTGTACAGACAGCGCGTTGTTATTTTTTAATAAAAAAATAGACGATAACATTATTTAATTAAAAATCTTTTGTATATGTCTTTATACACGAACTGAGTTAATAATGGCATTATTTCACTGTGGAGTAAGATGTAGTGTTGCCGTTGATAAAAAAAATGTAGCAAAAGTAGGTAACAGTAGTTATTTACACATCTCCTGAGAGCCAAAATAAAATATCTTACAGTTTTAGATTTATAGTCAGAATGTTTTGACTATAATTTTATATACATGTTCTTAGATACTAGACTTTCAAATTTTTTTTTAAATATAATTGATGGAGAAAATGAAATCTGAAAGCCCCTGTTTCAAAGTATAATTAATTCTACAAGAGAGAAATGGAATGAGAAATAATTACCACATTGATACTATTTACAAGACTAAACCAACAGGCGCAGTCAATTTTCAAGACATATTAATCATGCAATCACAAAGAAGTCATGTGATATAAAATTCTAATGTTATATGTAAGTATTTCAGAGGATACATTATTTGCAAGTAGTACTTTGTACAAAACATTCTTCCTGCCTCGAAGGACCAAAATTAATTTATTCCGCAATTTGTATATTATGTTGTATATATGGCAGCTACCATTGTTTTTTTTAGTTATATTTAATGTTGTTACAATTTTTTTTAGAAATAATAGTCTTGTCATTTATTTTTCTTTAAATTGTATCAAATTAAATAATGTTAGCTAACAAATTCATATTTAAAACAATTTCTAAATTTAACAAATTGTAAAACCTCTTCTATCTTTCTAAATATGGTAAATGTAAACAGAAATCAAGAAAAATAAATGCAGAAACTAATGAAAACAAAAATCAATAAATTAAAGCAGGAAGGAGAGGTTAAATAAAAAAATATCTTTTTGTTTTTAATTTTTTACTTGGAGTCGATTCTTGACGTACTGTTTTAAAGTATAACCCATAGAAAACTCCAGCGGCTACAATGATAATAGTCGATGTTACTTAAATATATTCCGCACAATTTGCGAAAGGTGTCCAGAAAATGATGCACCAAGTGACGCCATTCTGTGGCTTCTGTCGCCGGCGCAACTGAAGTCAAAATACGCCTCATTGTGATCCTCGAGACAGAAGTATTTTCGCTTGTACAAAGTCTGTCCAAAAGGAGTGATAAGGCTGGATACTTCATTACAAGGGCCGACTGGCTCGTGTAAGACCCAGGGACCGTTCTTTCTCAGGATCAAAGAATACCACGAACAACCAGTAAATGGCGTATTGCACGGCTGATTGCAGCAAAAGCGCGTAGTCGATTGCCGTTAGCTTTTATTTTATCTTCTCCCTTTCGCTTAAAATTCCGTTAATGACAATAACAGCGAAGATTGCAAAGAGAAGGAAGAACGTAACTGCGGAATGTATTTTAATGACATCGTGCAGAGGGTGATACAGCGGTACCAACATCAGTACACCGTCCGGCATGCCCAGGAGAGAAGAGATGATCAGGGACTTCCATTCCATGAGTATAGTTGCTGACGTCCATTGTTCAATCTTGGGAGTCAACCATCTCCTGCTGTGATGAAGGAGGAAAAGAAACTGGCGGAAAACGTAGCGTGGAAATAGTAAGAGTTCCATGGCACCCAGTAGTGACGATCAAAAATATTGGGATCAGTATCGTGTTAGGTTCAATGTACAAACTTCACAGCCATTATATCATACGGGTTGTCCACCATGACAATGACCAACCCGATTGCGAAAGGCTCCACGTATTGTGGCAAGCTTTGAAACGGCATATACTGCATGGTAAATGAACGCTGAATTTACAAAAATGATGTGAAAAGGCAGTCTGGCGCCCAAGTAGGACAATTGGTGTTTGAGAGAGCCAGAAGTTATCGCATTTGGAAAGCACGAAAAGCCAGAAGTTGCTTGTGAAAATTCCGTGTAATACAGTCCCTAGCCAAAAATAAGCCATCTTCTACCTTTTTTAAATGCGTGAATCAGCGTTATGAGGCCAGTTAAGCAGTAGACCACCTGAGATATTATGTAAGTCGGCTGCGCCGTCCATAGCTGACCGATATCACGTGTCTGGAACAGCCACTCTGACCAAGTATCACCGGCATTAGTAGTCATGGCGATAACTTACTCTCCTCTTACAGCTTCATTTGACTCTGGGTGATAGGGTGGCGAGGAGAGCCGCATAGGCTAAATATCTCGAAAGTACACTGTTGTATTACAAATTGTAATACATTAGTCTATTTTCGAGATGTTTAGCCTATGCGGCTCTCTTCGCCACCTTATCACCCAGAGTCAAATGAAGCTGTAAGAGGAGAGTGAGTTATCACCATGACTACTAATGCCGGTGATACTTGGTCAGAGTGGCTGTTCCAGACACGTGATATCGGTCAGCTATGGACGGCGCAGCCGACTTACATAATATCTCAGGTGGTCTACTGCTTAACTGGCCTCATAACGCTGATTCACGCATTTACAAAAGGTAGAAGATGGCTTATTTTTGGCTAGGAACTGTATTACACGGAATTTTCACAAGCTACTTCTGGCTTTTCGTGCTTCCCAAATGCGATAACTTCTGGCTCTCTCAAACACCAATTGTCCTACTTGGGCGCCAGACTGCCTTCTCACATCATTTTTGTAAATTCGGCGTTCATTTACCATGCAGTATATGCCGTTTCAAAGCTTGCCACAATACGTGGAGCCTTTCGCAATCGGGTTGGTCATTGTCATGGTGGACAACCCGTATGATATAATGGCTGTGAAGTTTGTACATTGAACCTAACACGATACTGATCCCAATATTTTTGATCGTCACTACTGGGTGCCATGGAACTCTTACTATTTCCACGCTACGTTTTCGCCAGTTTCTTTTCCTCCTTCATCACAGCAGGAGATGGTTGACTCCCAAGATTGAACAATGGACGTCAGCAACTATACT